ACATCAGTGGGATACTGTTCTGTGGGGGGACTGAACCCACAACCTTGAGGCTCAAAGGCCAAGGGTCTACTAACTGAGCCACTGTCACCTTGCTTACAAATCCAAGGTTGTATATTGATACTGCAGGAGGGTCTAAAGCTGTGTTCAGACTGCCAATGCATGGACGTGCGTAGATGGAGGCATGGACGCACGTTCACTAAATACCAGCTGCACGAGTTTAGTCAATCTGACGTCCTGTCCTGCGTTGGGAAAAAAACGCAGGGCGGAAGTGGTGGGCCCTTCTGTATCAGCAAACACGGTAACTGCACAGTGGAAAGTCAACTCAAGGTGAAGACATGTTCACAAGTGCTCTGTCCCCCATCCTCGGTCCTGGTTTAATCCTGGTTTACCTTCTGTTTTGGTTGCGTCTTCATTTTCCTGGTTTGGACCATGTGACCACTTTGCTGCTCTCTGATTGGTTGCTGCACGTCTGTAGAGCGATAATGTTCATCTCCTGCTTTCGCTGATGATGCAGGACCCTCGACATTCAACAACATTTATTGACATTTATCAACCTTTATGGACTTATGGCCTTATGTGTTTCATTTTCATTCCATTTCTTGTGTTTGAACAGTTTTGTAAAGTAGTCTGATATAACTACTTTTGTGATTTAGGGCAATACAAGAATACATTGATTTGAATAATCTCTTTGTAAATTCAGATATGAGGGTGTAGATCTAGGACTGAGGCTGTAGATCCAGGACAGTCAGGTTCCTTCTGTCTCTGAATTTAGTTTTAGCTCAGTTGATTGGTTGGTTAGGTTGGTGCGGTCCCAAATTAGTCCTTAGATCTCGCTTATGGATCCTGTTTAAGCCTCTTTTACAATAAAACAGATGCTATTGATGATATCAGCATGAATTCTGTAACGCCCTTGTTGCAGCCAAAATGGATCTGATTTGACAAGAATAGGAGAAACTCCACTGACTGTATCCTGCTCTTGTGACTGTGTCGTCTGGAGCCACACGTCCGGTCAGTGGCGGCTCACGGTGACAGAGCAGACAGGTGAAGCAGCCGGACAAAAGGCCGCCGCAGGGACTGAGTGAGTGGTCAAAAATAGCCTCAAAAGGATCTTTCAGTTGCGCTAGGGTTCCAAGCGTACGGGGAGACCAGGGCAATCCCCGCGGCCCCAGAGGAGCGCCCGTTAAGATTACAGTCAGAGATTAGAGCCTTTTGGAGATAACAGTACAACTTGGGCTTCATCCTTTAGGCCAAATATCTATCTATTGATATTTCTGGCCAGTGCTGCACTTTCAATCTCTCTGGTCTCTCTCTTTCTGGTGCCTATGGTCTCGCTGTCTTGTCTCTTCTGGTCGCTCTCTCTAGTCTCTGTATCTGGTCTCTCTCTGGTCTCTTTTTTAAGCTAACAGCTCAAAGCTAACGCCGGTAAAACCATGATAAAAG